GCTGGAGCCGGCTCTGATAGCGGTAGCAGGTTTTCAATTCTGACCTGACCTCAGGTCATGAGCCCTGCAATTTGCATGTGGTATGTAGCTGAAGTATGCTTACCTAGTCACAGGCAAGTCAAACTTGGGGGGAGGGATGTGTAAGCTTATGCTTGTTTGTATATGGATAAAATAGGTATACATTTAATGCTCATCTAGGTACTAAAAATCAGGCCTTTCTATCTAGTGTTATCAACCACAGCACCCATACTATCCTAGCTGAAAAACCTGCATTCCCAGAACTCTTCCGTCAGACAAAGTTTGGCTAATGCAATAGCAAGATGCAGTATCTGAGTGGAACTGGGAGTTAGGCATTGTGATGCGGAGCATTGCCATGCCTAACTTTTGGGCATCTAGAATATCACAGGGATTCACAGAGCCTGAATCAGGTGCCAATATGAGACATGGGGAGATCTAGGTGCCTAAGAGCAGGATCCAAAAGCCAGCATGGTGAGCCAGAAGCTGCTTCAATTAGCCAATGGGAGATCATGAGGAGAAAGGTGTATTCTAATCCCCGCCCCTCTTACAAAGTTAGGCACTTAAGTCCATGCTGCAGGGAGGTGCCTATCTCTGCTAATGATTCACAGGCAGGAACCTTCTTCTGGACTGCTGGCACCTAAGCAGGCACCTAAGCTGCTTTTTTGCAAGAAACACAGGAGGAGGGGCCCACCATGTAACTTTTAGCCCAGTGACTAGCATGCTCACCTGGGATGTGGGAAACACAGGGTCAATTCCCCCTTCATGCAGAGGATGGTCTCCCACCTCTCAGGTGCAGGCTCTAACTCAGGGGTCGGCAACCTTTCAGAAGTGGTGTGCCGAGTCTTCATTTATCACTCTGATTTAAAATGTATTACGCATGCCAGTAACACATTTGAATGTTTTTAGAAGGTCTCTTTCTATAAGTCTATAATATATAACTAAACTATTGTTGTATGTAAAATAAATAAGGTTTTTAAAATGTTTAAGAAGCTTCATTTAAAATTAAATTAAAATGCAGAGCCCCCCGGACCGGTGGCCAGGACCCGGGCAGTGTGAGTACCACTGAAAATCAGCTCGCGTGCCGCCTTCAGCACGCGTGCCATAGGTTGCCTACCCCTGCTCTAACTACTGGGCTATGGGACATTTTGATGTGGGCCTTCCTCAGTCTCTCCTGATAAAGCTATTCCACTCTGGATAAACAATTAAAGAATCACTGGAGCATGGGTCACCTTCTCAGTGAGTGCCCTCCCACTAAGCTATACTCCCTGATCAATAACTCTTACATTCAGGTAACTCACAATCCTTTCAGAACTCCTGTATTGCTGCACACTCCCCTCCAGGCTGTGCATCACCCATTAGCAGATGCAGCATACTCCTCCCATTGTGTCCAGCCATCTCTGCTGCCCCTGCTCTTTCCCCTGTGCCCAGACTCAAGATCTAGGGAGGTACTGCATGACTGTGCATGGGCTGGGGCCTTATGCTCCCTTACTCTGCCAGTAGTGCCAACTCTCAGGATGTTATTACAAAGTCTGTAAGGGGATGGAGGGGTGAGGCAACAAGCAGCAAGAATGTGCATTGAAGAATAGCATTCTTGTTAGCTCCATGAGTTCTTTACCCAGGAAATGTGACCACACCTCTGTAGGGAGGACTAGGGTTTGCAGGCTTGTTGGAAGTAGTCTGTTTTAATGGAGGGACTTGAAGGAGGAGAGGAGGTCCTGCAGAGCAGGTCAGGGAGGGACCTGTGTGTGTAGGGAGCCATCTGGGGAAAGCCAGGGAGGCGGGAGTCGGGAAAGGATGCCAAGGACTTAGTGAATCAGGCAGTTTGAGCACAGTAAAGATGGGGAGAAGAAAGATCTGTGGGCATATGTGGGAATCAGGCTGTGCAAGGCCTTAACGAAAAGACAAAGAGCTTGGTTTTGCTGTAGAAATGGAGAGGAAAGCCAGCCAAAGGCTTGATGCTATCAGAATGGCAGGCAAGGAAGGCATTTTGGATGGACGTGGGTGTCAGGCAGGCCAGACAGGATGCTGTTGCAGAAGTTAAGGGAGAGATGACAATAGCAAGAATGGAACCCTGTGGATTTCAAGGTGAGAATGGAGAGGGATGAGCAGGTTTTAGGTCTGTGAGGCAATCTAGCAGGATTTAGTGATAGCTTCAATTTGGGGTGAAGTGGAGGGACAGAGAAGAGGAATCCAACGTAATACGAGGGATGAGATACTGCAGCAGAAAGAGAAAAGAGAAAGCAACCTTGACAGCAAAGGGAGAGAGAGGAGAGGGCTTCAGGAGAAAGGGAAGGAGCTCAGTTTTAGTCATGCTGATTTTGCTGACACTTAGAAATTCAGGAAGGGATGTCAGAGAGGCAATCAGAAATAATCGACTGGGTAGAGCTTGGGAGTGGAGAAATGAATTTGTGAATCTTCACCAGAGATGCAACAGCTAAAGTTGTGTAACCAGATGAAGTTGTACAGAGACAGGGAGTGAGAAGAGAAGAGGAGCGGGCCAAGAATGTAGCTCTGACAGACCCTGAAAGAGAGACAGAGTCCACGAAGTAGCCACTGAAAGAGTGGTTGGGGGTGTAAGATGAGAACCAGAAGAGCCCAAAGTCCAAGGCATTGTCTACATGGGTAAATTGCATTGGTTTAAGTTAAATTAGTGCAACCCCCTATGTGGACACTCTTGCTCCAGTTTAATAGTGTCTCATTTTGGTTGAACTAACGGCTTGGCTACACTTGCGAGTTACAGCGCAATAAAGGAGTCCCGGGCGCACTAGCTCACTACCCGTCCACACTGGCAAGGCATGTAGAGCGCTCTGACTCCGTGGCTACAGCGCTGCTGGTACTCCACCTCGGCGAGTGGAATAACGTTTGCTGCGCCCCCACTGAAGCACAGCGGCGCCAGTGTGAACGAGGTGTTGCATTACTGCGCTCTGATTGACCTCCGGAAACTTCTCATAATCCCCTTAAGTCAAATGGCCACTCTTGTCATTGTTTTGAACTCGCTGTAGGAATGTGGATATGCCCTTTCAAAGCTCCGTTTCTGACAGCTGGCTGCTTATCTGTTCTGAGACAAAGGAACCATTACTGAGGAATGCTGCTTGGTTTGAGTTGGGGGGGGGAGGAAGGGGAGGGAGGTCTGCTGCTGTCTGAACTTACAAGACACCATGCTGACATGCTCTCAGACTCCCAAAAACCCACTTTCTCTCCCTCTACATATACACAACACACTCCCTGTCCATCCCACCCCCCACATTTGAAAAGCACGTTGCAGCCACTTGCATGCTGGGATAACTATCACAATGCACTGTTCTTTGTGGCGTTGCAAGAGTTGCTAATGTGGCCAAGCCAGTGCGCTTCCAGCTGAGAGTGTAAACACTCAACAGCATTTTCCCTGCTGCAGTCTCCGAAGGTTGGTTTAACTCCCAGTGCTCTACAGCTGCAAGTGTAGCCATGCCCTAAGCCTGTTCCTATTCAGATTATTAGCATAAAAATCCACTCTTAAACTGAATAGTGTCCATATCAGGTTAACTGAATCTATTGAAATTCACACCATCAGTTAAACTGGGGCAACTTTATCATGTAAACAAGCCCTATAAAGCCAAGGAAGGAGAATCACTAGGAGGAGGGACTGGATCAACTGAGTTAATGGTTGTAAGTGTAAGACTGAGGAGGATGAGAGAGGCAGAGTGGTCTTGGGATTTGGCCAGGAAGAGGTCATCAGTGACTTCGTTGAGGGCATCCAGTGGAGGTACAGATGCCAGATTGTAGGGGATTAAGAATGAAGATGGAGATGATGAGACAAAAGAAGTAAACTATGTGCTTCAGCAGCAAAAGGAAGGAGTGAGATGGGACAGCAGTTGGAGAAGAAGTGCAGGAGGGAATCAAGGGCGTTTTTTTAACAATAAAGGAGATGGTATGTTGGAGACAGAGTGGTTGAGGGGGAGGTGGAAGGATGAGATCAGTGAGGGAGATCTACCTTTGAGAAAAGAGTAGGTCAAAGGTGCTGGGTGCGGGGTTAGAGAAAGAAAGCAGGAGACATATTGCTGAGTTGAAGACTGGGATGTAGGGAGAGATGGTACAGGATGGGAACAAATGAGGGGGAGGGGTAGAAGTGGAAGCTCATGCTGAATAGCAACTGGTCTCTCCTTAAAAAAAAAAAAAAGAAGACAAGATCTTCAGTGGAGAAGGGAAGTCAGTGCAAGACTAGAATCAAAGGTAGAGAAGAATTAGTGCGGTTTTCCATTCTAACTCCTGTTTTCATTTGCTCATAACTTTCTAAAATGTTCACCTTTCAGGCCAAGGTCTGTTCTGCTTCTGGGTGGTTGGGGTTCTTTGTTTGGATAGACAATGTATTGGATAACAATATTCCCATCAATAAGGGACCACATATCATATGACACAAACTAACAGGGGATTTGAATTTCAGTCTTTTGACATTTTATCACTATTTAATACAATAATCCATATTTAAGTTTCACAAATATGGAGGCTGCAGAAGATCCAGCCCAGAACATAATGATATATTTTATGAAATCATGTAATATTACCATTACCACTACCACATAGGCAGTACTTCCTTCACCAGAAAACTGAGCATCACATTTATGATTGCCAGAGAGAGAGAGAGATGCTTGTACATTCAATACATATCAAACATATCTTGTCATACATGTCAGAACCCAGCACTGGTGTGGCACAGAATGGCTAAGAAAGAAAGAAAAGGATAAGAAAATGGTGGGAGTTCTGAATATCTGCTCTGTTTTGGTACATTTTCATGTCTCCAAAAAGCTGGTCTTTCAGATAAAAAAAGAAAAGAAAATCAGGTATTGTCCCCAGTATGCCTCTCAGTAACAATGTCCAGTTATAAGCATAGCAAACTGTCCTGTGGAGCAAGAAGAATTAAATGAAGGCCCAGATTAAGCTGCTCTCAGCCACGGTAGTGACAGAGGACAGCAGATTCCCAGAAACCCAGAGAAGATCCAACCAACCTTGGTGAATTGGTGAACAATGATATGTAGGCAGTGCTTCTTCATGTCCAGAGCCTGTGTCTTGTCAGCTGCCTCTAAAATCTAGAGCAGAACAAAGTTAAAACTCTCTTCTCTTTCTTCTTCTGATGAAAATCTAACTCACAGACAAGTGCTGACTTTATGCAGAGAAGGTCATTTCCCTATACTTGAGGTTGCCACCAGCTTTCCATTCTGAACTGGATTTTGGATGTTGTGTGAGGTTCTTGTCAGAAGATAATTTTCATGGAAATCTGGAGATGACTCAGGCTATGCATGGAGCCAGATTGTCTCAGGTGCCAGAATGAGACTGGTGCAGGCAAAGGGAAAGCTATATCCTAGGCTATGGGTTGGGAGCAATCAACGTAGGAGGGGGCACTGCTAACTTTATACCAACTGAGGATTCCCTCTACCAGGGAAATTCTTGGTTGGCTGGATTTTGGCTCTTTTGCACGACCTGGGCAGCAAAAAATGAGCAGGACCAGGGCAGAGGATCTGGTCCAGGATCTTTAGGAAAAAATAGTTCATTTATGGTAACTGTTGTTCACTGAAAGTTGCCTCTATGCATTCACATTTGTGAATTTGACGCCCCCAATGATCTGCTGATGGAACCTCTACCAAATCAGTGTCCATTGGGTCTGCATGAGCACCACCTACTGACACTGATGTTCAACGACTAAGCCTATACAAGGAAATCCAGTACCCAACCACCTCGGCTTCTTCTCCTATACCAAAGTGCCAAAGTATGATGAGAACTCTGAATGGAATGGGGACAGGAAGTGTGAATGCAGAAAGATAACTCTCAAAGAACAACTGTTATCAGTTTCTTCTTCCAAGTCCTCTGTGCATTCCCATTTGCAGGAGATTAGCAAGCAGTACCCACAGAGATGCAAGGCGGGCTGAGGAGTTTGCATCTGAAGAGAAATTGTAGCACTACTTTCCCAGTCCCGGCCTCCAAACAGGAGGTCAAGATTAAGGAACAGTGCTTGCTAAGATGTGACCTGAACTCTAAATGAGTGCTCTACAGAACTCCCTACTGGGCACCAGTTTGAACATGCCACACAAATGGCTTTAATGCATAGTGGCAAGGGAACCTTAGTCCAAGAATAACAAAAACAAATGGACAAGGTGATCCACTTGGATAACCTGTGAGAAGAAATAACCTGTCCCTTGTACCTCTTCCCATATGCTAAATTAGCCTAGTGCTATTTCAGAAGGGCTTAGTTCTCTACGGACAGAAACAGAGTGCCCTTCTCACATCCCCTGGGAGTGGTGTGAGTTTTGAGGAAGAAAACCAGAAAGGATACAGACTGGTTAATATGAAAATCCATCACTATTTTAGCAATTAAGTTTGGGTGTGGATATAGAAATCCCTCGGCCTTATGTGTACAGCTAGGTCACCATTAAATCTGCAACTGACTGACCCTCCAAGCTGCAAGTCCAAAAAGCAGTTCCCCAGTGGTTCAGAGGTGGGGTTCCATGACCTTTGCTAGCACCCAGTCCAAGTCCCATGCAGAAAGAGGCTCCCTCACAAGAGAAAGATGTTGGCAAAGCCTTAGACGGAATGTGTGATTGCAGAGTGTGGGGGAAATGAACCCCCCAACCGCACTAGACCCTGGCAGATGGAGTTGGCATACAGAATTTGCATTCTGATGGACTTTTGGGGATGCATTGAACAGACTGGTCTCCTTTTGGTAATGGTCTAGAATGGAGGGAGCACTCTAGAACAGTCCTTCAGCCATTGCCCAAGTGGAGCATATCTTCCACTTTGAACACAGCACATGTGTGTCACACGTTTTCTAGACTGAAGAACCTTTCTCACACTTGCAGAACAAGACAGGTCAGAGTTGGTTAAGAATCTATCAACCCGGCAGTCAGATGAAGGGATACTAGATCTGGATGGAGAATTCTCTTCCAGCCTGAGATAGCAGGTCAGGAGATAGTGGAACGTGACATGGTAGCTCAAGGGAGGATGCAACAGCTTGGCATACCAGCGCTCTGAGATACTCTGGAGCAATGACAAGAGTTTTTAGCCTCTCTCAGGGTACGAGGTACTGGCAGGAATGTATAAAGTTCTTGCTCCAGTCCATGAGGAATGTGACCCTGAGAGACTCCTCCTTTCTGACCATTGTTGAACAGAAAATGTGACCCTTTCTGCCTTGATAGAAAAGCATTTTAGCACAGATGTTTACGTGAAGAAGAGATGGCAAGACAATAATGTTTCCAGAGACCACTCATGTTGGTCTAGTCGCCTTGGCCTGAATGCATGAAAGGAATTAGGTGCCTAAGTCCCTATTTTAGGCACCTAAGTCCCACTTTCAGCACCAAGGTGATGCACAACCCCCTGCCAAACCCTGCAAGCACCTGAACTCACTCGGTGCTCAGGAATTTGCAGTAAAAGTTCCCTAGATGCCTATTTTACTGCCTGTGGGCAGGCACACTGCTGTGTCACCAGGGGTGTCCAGATGCCTAACTCCTGCCTAAGTCCCATAAGACTCAGAAAGAACCAGATAATTTGGCAAAGCTGATATTGCAAGGTTTGCAAAGTTTGACCGGTACTGTGAAATCTGTCCTCTGGCAGCAACATCTTGTCCACAAGTTAGTCTCAGACTATGCCAGTAAAAGTGAGGCTCTTACAAGTGCACAATTCAACATGCCTCACTTGATTTTGAGCCCCAAAGTCTTGCAGGTCAGGACCAAAGAGCAGAAGAGCTCCTGCCATGATCTGGCTTTGAGAGGTCAGTTGTATAGATATGACAAAACATATATTCCTCTTTTCCTTAGGTGGGTTGCCACCACAGCAGGCGGTCAGTAAACACTCTTAGTGCTATATTGTAAAAACTTTTCTCCTATGCAAAACTTCATGCATTTCCTATGTGATTGTTTTATGTCTGTGAAAGTAGGTGTCCTTCAAATCAAGAATCATGTATCAGGGCTTGTCTATATGAGCACTAATTTGCAGCAAGCTGGGGTGAAAACATAGTGTGCGGCATGCTAGTGTGGGGTAAGTATCTGTAGGAATCCTGCTGACACATACTAAAAGTTCCCTAATGCACTTTAATCTACTCCTGTTTCAAAGTGGGGTAGATCAAAGTGTGCCAGGGAACTTTCAGTGCACAACAGCAGGGTCCACATGAATACTTAGTGAGTGGCACACTAGTGCAGGGTAGATTTTCACTCCAGCTTGCTGAGAACTCAATGTTCATGTAGATACGCCTTTAGTCTCTTTGGAATAGGGAGGGGGATGACGAACCAGCAGCGGTTCTCAACCTTTTTCTTTTTGAGGCCCCCCAACATGCTAAAAAATCTCCACGGTCCACCTGTGCCACAATTGTTTTTCTGCATATAAAAGCCAGGACCAGCATTATGGGGTAGCAAGCAGAGCAATTACCCGGGGTCCCCTATCATAAGGGGTCCCACAAAACTTAGTTGCTCAGGCTTCGGCGTCAGCCCCGGGCGGTGGGACTTGGGGCCCTGGGCTTCAGCCCCATACAGTGGGGCTTTGTCTTTCTGCCGAGGGCCCCAGCAAGTCAAATGCTGGGCCTGCTTGATGGACCCCCTGAAACCAGCTCGTGGCCCCCCAGTGGGCCCCGGACCCTTGGTTGAGAACCACTGCCATAGTGATCATCCTCATTTTGAAGGTTCTGATCTGTCTCTTCAGTGTTCTGAGGTCTTGTATCAGGCAGAGGCCATCCATCTTCCTGGAGATCAAGGAATACCTCAAGTAGAAACCCAGAACTCCTGGGGACCCTCTTCTGTGGCTCGTTTGGTCAGCGTAGGTTGACTTCCTCCCAGAATGAACTCTTGTGAGAAGGATCTGTGAAGGGGGGCCAGTGAAGAACTGTATGAAGTAACCTTGATGTGTAGTCTTCAGTACCCAGCAGTCTGATGTGATTTCAGACTTGGCTTTGTAAAGTCTCTAAAGAATGTGGAGGTGGTAGATGAAGAGAAGAGTGTGCAAGAAACTGGAACGTGGCTCCCAACTGGGGTGTCAAACTTGAGGTCTGGAGACCAACGATACAAGCACCACACCAATGTCGTCAGATGTCACTGGTATGGTGCTCTGCTCTGTTCAATGTTGATAACAGTCGGCTGCATGTGTGTGTTCCCTCTGAGTGCTGCCCCGGCTCTGTGCAGATAGCTGACACAGCAGACCCCAAGAGAACCTCCAATGACCACAGAGATTCAAAGGCATCCAGCCAGATTTATTGTCAAATGAAGCATAGTAATAGTTTCCCACAGACTCTATAGGACATAGTACGAATATGTGCCCCCGGACAATGGACCGGCTCAGTCAGTGGCGGGACTTACCACAGACCCGTAGGCCAGACAAGACAACCCTTCACTCCTGACAAACCCTTCACTCCTGCAACCCCTCTATGTGTTAGGGTGCCACCTCTCACTTTGTACATGTTGGTTCGAACAAAACAACTGTATCCTTCATGTTATCCTCCTGCCCTGTCTTTAGGATGGGTCAGCATGTTCCTTGTTATCTATGTGGCATGTGCTAGTACCGGAATGTTCTGGTACCGTCCAGGCACATGTTTATATTAGTAGTGCTTAGTACCTTTTAGGTATGTGTATATTTGCAACATCAGCCTTCTTCTTGCCAGCTCCTGTGAGCAGGGCCTGCCTCTGGCTCACAGCTTAACTTTGCTTTATGTTAGCAAAGTCTTGACTATTACTTTAGTTCAAGCCTTAGGTCTCATACCAGGCCTCTGATACAAGGGTTTATATTTCAGGGCCTCATCTTACCACAAAAGCCTCTAAGGTTTTGTTGATTTTTTCAGTAAAATGGCCTTAACTTTCAAATTCTGTATTCACACTTGTGATTCTGGGGTAAGGTCTGAGGACTTAATTCATGAATATCTCTGTGGCTGTGGCTCTGTTGCAAGGGGCAGAAGTGTCATAGGCTGCATGGGGGGAATGACAGGCCATACTTCTGCTTCAGTGGCAAGATCCTTTGCTGCCTTACTCTGATCTTTAGGAATCAAATTCAGAACAATAGCATCCTAGAGGGTATACTGTTAGTGTCTTGTCGCTGCCTGGTAACTGGCAATACACATGGATCCCAACAAATATGATTTCCTACTGGGTGAGGAAATTCTGTGCCCAGGGAGCAGATTTAGTACCCTTTATCTTTTCTAATGCAGGAGAGACCACACAGTTCAAGTACCACCAAGTAGTGCCCTTAAAGCTTTGTGAAGGGAAGGCCACAGCAACATCTGTGAACTCCTGATATCATGGAAGACAGAGTGCTCTGTGGAACTGAAGAGGTGCATGAAGGCTGATGGTGATGGTTCACTCAAAGGGAGCCTGAGTGAAGCCAAAGGGAGACGCTGGGCATCACTGAACAGGAATTCCAGAGATGAATCAGGAGAAAGTTCCAAAGCCAAATTGTGCACCAGTGAAGCAAAAATCTTGTGTGGGGACTAGTTGACTAGTCTTGGGAAAAGTTGACAGATTACCAGGAACATGAACTGGGGAAGTCTGCAGCTGTTGCAGGGCCATTGACGACTAAGGAGCTGAGACCTTCTCCAAAATCAGCCCTGGGGAATTTCTATGAGATTGGTTATGATGCTTTCTTCTTTCCTTCTTCACTTCCCCAGAACCAGACCTATGCTTTCCTTCCCGTGTTTCTTCTGTGCAGATGGTGTATATCCCTAGGATGGTGCAGCAGGTGCCACAGAAGGATCTTCAATAGCTGAGGATGTTCTCTCAATAAAAGGGTCCAGAAATTAATACCATTTGGGGAGTCAAACTTATCTGCATTACCAGTGCCAATGCAGATGAGAACGCCTGAGAATGCTTCATAGGGGAGGTCAGTGCTGCCTGAGGCACAGACCTGGCACTGGAACCCTTGTTAGAAGCCCAAGTTGAGGCCGGTGAAGAGGCTGGAGCCAGGTTCCAAGTCTTCACTCATTTAATAGTAGTGGGTTTTTGTGCCAAGGAGGGTCATTGTGGGCTCAGATTTTATTGCCTTGACAGCCTGATAGCAGGGCCTGTGCTGTCAGAGTGTCACTAGTTTGAAAGACAGATAGGCCTTTAGTCTCAATTGCTGATCATGGCATACTCTGGGGATGAATGTGATGGAGTGTGAGCTTCACCTGAGCACACCAGACATGAAATATACATGTCTGATTTCAGATAGACTGTCAGATAGATTTACAGCCTTTCTAGGGCTCTACTCCTGCCATCTTTGCATGGACCAAGACCAGATCAATCTCCTGCACTACTTCCTCTTTCTTTTAATTAAAGTGAATAAAAGAAAATTCAGATGGCAAAGATGGTCTACTAAATAATTAGGCAGAAAGTCACAGACAGCGAGGATCCTAATGCTATGCACAGCAGAGGAGAAGGAAATGAAGACACTGGGGTCTGCACTGCCTTATATAGATTCAGACATTGAGCACTAACATCACTAGGAGGGCTTATGCACCCCCACTGGATACAACTGTAGTAGAGGTTCCATGAACTTGAAGCCAGAGGATGTCAGACCTGCAAGTAGGGATGCACAGAAGCCTCTGAAGAACAACACAGGTATTACTTTGTAAACATTTTAATACACTTTCCCCAGTCACATCTGTATAACAGGTTGGCCTAGAAACATCAAATGTTTTATCCCACAACTCATCCCCATACTTTCAAATTTTGCATATTCTTGTTTACAAATTCTGTTTCAATTCCAATGCATTCTAATGCTTTTCCACCCAAAATTATAGTATCCCTACAATCTTAACTGCAGTTTAGCCAATTATTTTTCTCTGAGAATGTGAATAAATCACAGACCCTTCTGGCTGGTGTTGCTGGACCCTTTGAATTTCTTGAATATTTACTGTATTTAAGACTACCGTTGACAAATTAAAATGAATCAGTGATAATTACCTGGAGCACATTTTCCACTGTAACATTCATTTCCAGATTCTGCTTGCAGTATGCTTGAAGTCTGTTGTTGTAGAAACCATAATAATAAGGGGCAGCAAAGAGGTAGCTATAAAGCTAGTCAAGGAGAACAAATTTGTGTTCCAAGTTGGTAATAATTAGGGCTCCGTGTCTGTCACGGAGGTTGCGGAAGTCATGGATTCTGTGACTTCTGGAGCGGCCAGTGTGGCTGACCCCAGGGGCCAGCTGCTCAGATAGAACAAGAAGTAATTGACTTAATCTGCAGCAAGGGAGATTTATATTAGATATTAGGAAACACTTTCTAACTATAAGGGTAGTTCATCTCTGCAATAGGCTTCCAAGAGAGGTTGTAGAATTCCCATCATTGGCGGTTTTTAGGAACATGTTGGACAAACATCTGTCAGTGATGGTCTAGGTTTCCTTGGTCCTGCCTCAGAGCAGGGAGCTGGATTTGAAGACTTAATTTTAATTTAATTAATTTAATTTAATTAATGGAGATATCCTATCCTATCTCCTAGAACTGGAAGGGACCTTGAAAGATCATCAAGTCCAGCCCCCTGCCTTCACTAGCAGGACCAAGTACTGATTTTGCCCCAGATCCCTAAGTGGCCCCCTCAAGGATTGAACTCACAACCCTGGGTTTAGCAGGCCAATACTCAAACCACTGAGCTATCCCTCCTCCCCTCCCCCCCAGACTTCTCCAAGTCCCTTCCAGCCCTACATTTCTATGACTCTATGGTTGTCCGTGCAAGCTCCCTCCAAAGATATGCATAAAGTATTTCCCCTAGAGTTGTACAGCAAGATGGTTAGTCAGTGGACCAGTCCAAGATACCGAGGCATGCATACTCTCTGTCAGCCATTGTGAATGACAGCAATGGACCAAAAATATAGTGAGCAGGGAGTAAGTCCTGCATAGTTGTGCTCACAAAGGGGATCTTGGCATTGCAATACTTAACTCCTAGGTACCTTGCCACAAAGTGGAATTCACAGCCCGAGTTAGGTGGCCAGGCTCCCCATGCATTGTATGGGGAGCCTGACCACCTATGAACTGGATTCTCAGAAGCCAGCAACTGAGCAGGGAACTGCCTGAGCTGGCCAGGAGTGAAATGCAGAGGGCTTAGGCCCCAGATTCACAAAGGGATTTACATATCTAATTGACAGACTGGAAGGATATGCCTATCTCTGCTCAGGATTCTTAGCCTTAAACCCAAACCAGGTGAGCTCTTTCTCACAAAAAATTGAAGAGACACTCCTCTACCCCATTTTAAAATGATAGGAATGAAGGGATCTCAAGAGGCCATCAAGTCCAGCCTCCAGTAGCCCATTGCACACACCTGGGGGTGTGGGAGACCTGTTTTCATAACCCTGCTCTGTCTGATTTGGAGCAGAAACTCGAACACACATTTCCTACACTCCTGGTGCTTGCTGTAAACACCAGGCTATCAGGTGTTGACTTGCTTACCCATTTGTGTGGGTTCAGCATGCTCTGAGTGCATCAACCAGATCAGGCCCTGCACAAATGAGATGGGCAGGGGAACACCTACTTTGAGAATTCCACTGTGGCTTGGGAGTAAGAAAAGATTACTTACTAACTGTGATTCTTCAAGATGTGATGCAGATGTGTGTATTCCACTTAGGCATGTGCATGCCCAGTGCACCAGAGGAAGAGAATTTTCCCTAGCGGTACCTGCAGAGGGGCAGCGCTCACGCCTCGTGGCCATAGCCCCATTCCAGGCTTTCGGAGGCAGTGCCGCCCGAACCCCACTCAATTCCTTTGCAACAAGCATCCAGAGACTAGACTCTGATGCAGAGGAGGTGGAGGGTGGGTCATGGAATTCATGTCTGTATCACATCTAGAAGAACGAGTTACAATAAGTAACTGTTTCTTCTTCTTCAAATACATGCAACCGAGTATTCCACTTAGGTGATGCACAATATCTTCATTAATGACCTGGAGGATGGCATGGATTGCACCCTCAGCAAGTTTGCAGATGACACTAAATCATAAAATCAAAGAATCATAGAATATCAGGGTTGGAAGGGACCTCAGGAGGTCATCTAGTCCAACCCCCTGCTCAAAGCACGACCAATCCTGAACTAAATCATCCCAGCCAGGGCTTCCTCAAGGCTGACCTTAAAAACGTCTACGGAAGGAGATTCCACCACCTCCCTAGGTAACCCATTCCAGTGCTTCACCATCCTCCTAGTGAAAAAGTTTTTCCTAATATCCAACCTAAACCTCCCCCACTGCAATTTGAGACCATTACTCCTTGTTCTGTCATCTGCCACCACTGAGAACAGCCGAGCTCCATCCTCTTTGGAACCCCCTTTCAGGTAGTTGAAAGCAGCTATCAAATCCCTCCTCATTCTTCTCTTCTGCAGACTAAACAATCCCAGTTCCCTCAGCCTCTCCTCATAAATCATGTGCTCTAGCCCCCTAATCATTTTTGTTGCCCTCCACTGGACTTTTTCCAATTTTTCCACATCCTTCTTGTAGTGTGGGGCCCAAAACTGGACACAGTACTCCAGATGAGGCCTCACCAATGTCGAATGGAGGGGAATGATCACGTCCCTTGATCTGCTGGCAATGCCCCTACTTATATAGCCCAAAATGCCATTAGCCTTCTTGGCAACAAGGGCACACTGTCAACTCATATCCAGCTTCTCGTCCACTGCAGTTTAGGAAAAAACATGGGTACACATACCACCTGGTTCAAATAAAACTGGGAGACCACTTTAGACAAAAATATTGGGTATGGCCATAAAGCACTTTGTCCTTGGAGAACCATGTATAAGGAGGCTCTGCCATCAGAGCCTGCAACTCAGAGACTCCCCTTGCAGATGTTATTGAAACCAGGAAAGCAGTTCTCTGACACAAAAGCAGAAAGGGTTAAGATGCCAGAGGCTCAAATGGAGGTCCCATCAAGTCCACGAGGATAGTATTAGGTCCCACAGAGGAACTGGCTCCCAGACACTGGAGGATGGAGATGAAGAAGGCCTTTAAAGAATCTTGCTGCCATGGCATTGGAAAAGACTGATCTTCCAAGGATGGGTGGATGAAACACTGGGTGCAACCTCAAGAGCTAAAGGCAAGGCCAGGCAGCCAAAGACACAGCAAGTACTCTAAGATGTCCTGGATAGAGACCAGCATCAGTTGAACTCTGTGGGCTGACGACCACTCCAAAAAATGCTTCCATTTTGTCAAACAGGCGATTCTGGTACAGGGCTTTCTATTGAATAGAACCTGTAGAATGGCTGCCAAACAACATTTCATCCTCATTTAACCACAAAACAGCCACACAGCAGGGAGCTGAGCGTGAGATACAAGGCATGACCATGATTCTGAGTGAGTAGGTCAGGATGAAGATGAAGGGATAAAGGAGGCTGAATTGACAGCGCAAGGTTGGAGAATCGACACTGCTTTGGCCATTCTGGGACAAGGAGGATGAGCTTGGCCTGATCCGCTTTCAGTTTGAGGATGACCCGTGGTATGATCGGGATTGGGGAAACACATACAGAAGAGCTGATGCCAGCTGAGATGGAAAGTGTCAGTCAGGGAGCCCGGACAGAGTTTTCCTTGAGAGCAGAACAGATGGCATATCCTGTTGTCCCTTGTAGTAAACAGGTCAGTTGTTGGAATGCCCCAAGCTGCAAAGATGACCTGCAGGATGTTTGTCTTCAGGGACCACTCGTGACTCAGGGAAAAATTCCTTTTGAGATGGTCTGCGAGATGATTCTGGGCCTCAGGCACGCAATCGACTACACTGGTCTACAATTTTTGAGAAGTCGTCTGTTTCAGAGATAAAATGTGCTATTTATTATGTA